ATGCTCCAGAGTGGGATGGAGCAGCCTGCTGCCACTCAGCCACTGCGAGTTTCTATTTGACTTTAACCATTCTGTCAGCTTTTATTGAAATTTATATTATTATTTTAACAACACTAATATATTATATTATATCATATTAAATTATATTATAGGAACATATGCCTTGACAGCTGACTCACATTTCTCATAGCCTTAAGGTTAAAACCATCACAAATCCATAAATTACTAATACAAATAAAAACATACTTACGGGTCATAAACTTCGAGTAAATCCCACATCTCCGGTTCAAGTCCACTCAGTATATTTACGCAACTTTCTATCAAACAATAAAAGCCCAAAGTCCTGGGAGGAAACCAGCAAGCGACCCAAGTCTGATTTCACCGACTGAGAATAGAAACTATACAGTTCTCTCAGTTCCATGAGTGTTTTTTAAGAACACTGCTGTTACTCCTGCTTTACTGACCCCAAAACAGGCTGAGGAGAGACCGCTGCCAGCATCCAACATCTCCACAGCAGCCTCGGATGACAGTGTGCGTCGAGCTGCTGCGTCGCTGGTCCCCTGCTCTCTCTCTCTCTGTCTCTCTCTCTCTCTCTGTCTCTCTCACGCACACGCACACACGCTCTGTGGTCGACGTGCACAGAAGCCCAAACATTTAACCATTGTGAACCGGTGTCTATTGTTCGGTTTGAATGACGCTTCTCCCTTTTTTCCTCATCATCTTTTTCGGCAGCATTTGATGGAGGTGGGTGGTGGGAGCTGCGCAGCCCGGTGTGGCCGAGCAAAGCTGGAGGAAGGCACCGCCGAGCACCTTTGGGAGACAGACGCAGCGGACCCAAAACTTAGATTCACCTCCAGGAAGCTCAAAGGCTCGACGCCATATGATGTCAGCGCGCGTCATGGCAGCGTGCTGCTTGGCAGAGGGTGTTACCGCAACTGTGCCATAGAGAAGACAGCTTCACTCCTCATCCTCCGCATGCTCCACCGTCTCTGAGTCTCCTCACGGTCAGCCGGCAGCAGAGCCACACTGAGCAGTGATCTCCAAACGTGCACCTCTGCTTCAACGAGGCACCTGTGTGACCAGCTCGCAGGAGGAGCCAGAGCCAGACATTGGCATGAGCCAGCAGTACCGACTGCAGATTGAAATGTTGTAGTTCCCATATGGTTCGACTGCAGGAGAGATGCGTAAAAGAGAGACGGTCCAGGAGAGCTGGAGACGGTGTAAGAGCAGCAGCGGAGTGTGAGGTGGTGCTGTCGCAGCATCAGCAGCGCCAACACACGCACACGCTTCCCCAGGGCTCCTGCGGGTCACGTTGTTTTACGTGTTGCGACGTCTCCTTCCTCCCTGTGCGCAAAAGAGCGCACAGTGGACAGCCGCGTGCCAAACCTTAACCTCAGTGCAGAGCTAAAGCCGCTGAATTAGCTCTGCAAGATCAGAAATACAGAGGGTATGCGCACGAATAAGTCACCGGTGCGCGCTGCAAAAACTGTCCCCGGTAGTGAACGTGATTGTTTGCGTGCTGACGTCAGGCGCCAGGATAGGTTATTCCAGATATGTTATCCAATACGAGCGCGTGGGATGCGGAGGCTCGTTCGTGGGGACAGATGTGTGTTACAAGACATAACTGCTGCTACTGCTACTGCTGCTGAGCGTACAAATATCACAAGCCTTGATAATATTATTACATCTTTATAGTAGAAATAAAATATTTTGCCACTCAGTGTTTTTGAATTTTTTTTTGAATGTCCAAATAAAATTGTGTGTGTGTGTGGTGAGTG